CTAAAATAATTCTATTACAGAAAGACACGAATTGTCCAATATTAAAATTGTATGATAGAATGACTTGTTACAGCAGCTTGTGCTCAGTAGTGTATATAGTACTGTGTGTAGAGCTCCTTCATTACACTGAGGTAAAACCAGCATAACCGCACAACTCATATTAACATTTTGGAGAATTGTCTCAAAAACGTATGATCTCAAACTGAAAACCAAAGGTAATTACACAAACCTTACGATCGAGTTCAATATTTAATTATTTACAGGCAATTCGTATTATATGTATGACAATTGAGAGAACGAGAGCAGCACACAATCATTACATTCATTTGGATATTATTGTCTTCCAGGAAATTTTCTCATTTTAATCGATAATTTCAATCAATACATTTTATAGCTTTACTGCTACACATCGTCTATCTCGCGCTGTAAGTAAAACAGATTTTGTCTAGCATAGAAAATATCCTTATTCAAGCTTAATCATTGTCTTAGAAACATTTAAGGCGTAACAACGTATGTCAATTGTTTTGAGTACATCCAGTACACCATTTCGTGCGTGCAAGAACACAAAACCTTCGTCGTGCCATTGTTTATAGATATTTTATTTATTCAGTACCTGACCTTACGCCACTGTTAACACGGGCGGAATGTGATATATTTATTACAACTATGCTGACCTGTTTTAACGCTATTCTTCATCTTCGCTGCAGTGCTTCAACGCCTGGCATAATTGGTACTTCACATTTGTATTAAATTTACAATGGCGAACAGAAGTGAGTAAATATTGCTAAGAGGAATATCGTTACAAAAAACCCCGGTAATATTGATTTATGACTTTTTAACCGTTCTCCTTCGTCGTTTCGTTATAAATGTGAAATTGATATGAATAGTGTAGCAGTTTCATGATGCCTTCAACATCATATATCAGTGAAAGCCTCTGACCTTGGTTTCCCCTTCTGCCTTTACTCAATGTTTGTGTCATTCTGCGGTATGTGCTGATATTTGGGCACGTTTACATTATTTCCTTGAAATCAGTACCTGTACTTTCTATTCGTTTACTTTTGAGCTCATTTCTTGTATGCTAATAACGTTTTTAATATGTCGACTTTGACTTTTGAATTCCGATCTTGTCTTCATGAATTGACGTCTTTTCGCATTCGTTTCTCGTAGTTGACCTTTAAAATGAAAGTTTTTTGTAATTCGTCGTGCTGATGACTGATACAATGGACATATTTGTAAAATTGCATTGTATTCCGAAGGGACAAATTGCAAATCAAGTCAGTCTTGTACGCTTAAAACCATGTACTTTCGATGGATTGTTTCACATATTGCAACGACTCCGTTCGCGTGGATTTATAGTTCAACATGTACCACCATATACAATATATATATATATAAGACATTGTCTTCGAAATTCCCCATCCAATAAATTTAATGGACAATCGTATAAATTTGATAGCGGCACCCAAAGAAAGATTGACTGACTCGGAAAACGAGGATTCAGTATCGTTACAGACATGAACAACTTGTGTGCTTTAGAAGTAAACATTTTTAACACATATCCTGTCTTCTTTAGAATGAAAAGTGATTACTTGTAATTTGCACGAAGCGAAGTCGTCGTCACTGTCCGTAAATATGTTATTTTTGTCCCATGATCGACACTGTTTCATGAGTCCCTGTAGGTCGTGTTACCTATCGATCCCTGCTTTATGTATATATAGTTCCCACCAAAGGTAAATTCTTCGTTGAGTGATGTATATTGATTAATCTCGATAAGTTCTAAATATACAAAATAGCAATTCTATCAGTAACGCTGTCTGTGTGTCTAGGGGATACTACCTAAAAGTAACACACACACTGTTTGTAAATATTAAACCATCTATAGTGGTATATTACACTTACTATTACCTATGTTGTCAATACTTTTCCTGGAAAATGATAGTTTCCATAGCTTTATCTTTGTCTCTGATTTAACCATTGTCGGGAGATTTAAAGCTCCTCAAATATTCTAAAAAATCAATGTTGGAAGTGATACGCGACTTAAATTCTCAGGCGAACAGTGTCCTATTAACTATGTAAAATATAAGATTGACAGTGTGCTGTTAGATCTACATCCCTAACTTAACTAAAACCAAACCGAACTTCCTTATTCTGGAATATTACTTATCTCGATGTTACGTCCTCGTTCCCTTGAAGTAATTTTATCAAGACATGATATCCCAACAATAAACAGACAATTCTATTTTTTCGGCATTTTTCTTAAGAATCCTTACTTTATTATCTGTATGTATATAAAAAAAATATTGAATATATGTTGTGTATTGTCTGTTTTTTTTATGTGAGTACAAATTTCAGTATCACGAGCCTAACTTTTCTAATTTGTGTTGGTCCTTGCGACATGTAACACGTGTCAGTATCTATCGTGAAATTCGACAGCCAGTTACTGACTGATGCTTAAACAATGTCTTAAGTGCTAAGGCTGATCTCAACGTATACAAGATAAATCACTTACCTCTTGCGACGAAGAGTACAAGCACTTGTATTAATATGTATATATGTCTAAATTCGCTCTGTACCATGGTGGCAATCAGCATACACAAGAGTTTGTCCTGTCTTGGTACTTCCACGTGTAAACTTGTTTAAGTCCCTGGTAGCTGTCCAGTACTGAATGGCCTGACAACGCACGTGCTTCAGGTAAACAAATAAGCTAAGCCAATTTCTGTACGAAGTTTACACGAAGGCTTATAATATCAAAGTGTACTTTTCTCAGCTTATAGAAATATATAGTGTCCGAAGCACGCAGAGTCCTGTTTCGATTGGATCGATGAGTTGAGGTATCAGCCAATCATATTCACGGTACCATTGCTTGTTTGGATTGTATTTGATAGTAACGTGTATCTGTCGCTGCTGATCACCTAGACCGGTGCACTGCCGTCTCTGATTTACACGGCAGTGTTACTGCACAGACAACAGGAGATATAGTATCGCGTCCTAATATCTTAGGTCAACACGCATCGCTTGTTCCTCAGTTGACTTCGAAATATGATTGTAAACATATAGATGAATTCTATCATCCAGTATTATCAATGGTATTTTGGAAATACTCTATACATTAACTCAGCTTTTTACACCAATTCTGGGTTAGCTCTATATAAATACATGAGCTGTTTTTAAAATATTTTCCATTTAAAGTCTGCCGATGTACGAACCTTTACACACATCGGTTTAGATATGGCTCTGTCTATCTGAGGTCATTTTGGCACCATTGATATATCGTTTATTGTATATTTTCATTTTAAGTCAACTTTAACAAATAATACACAACTTAGATATTGCTCGTTGATTTCCAATCACATTCTAATAGATTCTCGAAAGGATACTTGACGAACGCGTCCTTGCGATGTAGACATTGTTCGAACAATAACTATTTACAACACTGATACAAAGATCCAGACCCTTGCTTTAATTATCCAGACTTGATCGCTTTGCTTATTCAATAGTCATTCAGGTAAAATGTTATGAAAGTGTAAAATACGGCATACAGTTTCATCAGGATAATGCACATAAAACAAGTTTGTTGATCAGCTGAGATCCACGCTTCTCTAAAGAAACCATCACATTAAGATATATCAATGTTGATGCACAAGGTTGAAATAACCCAATATTTGGAATAACATTCAATACAGAATGCATTTTTTGAGTGTTAAGTTTTGGATAAGACTTAATTCATCGCCTAAACAAAATATAATAAGAATTGATCAATTTTATGTCTTGTACAGTTTTATGACATTAAAACTGATTCATATCAAATTATTGATTGCGCAAAGGTTCAGGATCTATCGCGTCATTTCCGGTACTGTACCAACGGAAATTTTGTTTTAGCCGACCACTACGACATCTAAGCAATCGTCTTCTTATATATTGGCTACCATAATATCATCCTTGATAGAATATTGTCGGTTCCTTCCTTATATGTAGGCTGACGTCATTAAAGACAATTCTTCCTATCAAAAGTTTGGGTCTATTGACTAATATACCAAAAGTGCACGGGCATTCTTCATAGTCGCGAGGCGTCTACGATAGAGAACGCCAATTCACCTTTGGTATATCAGCCAAGGGATCTAGAATTAATGTAGTTATATTCAAACACTACACAAGCATTCGCAAAAAGGAAACCTCACACAAATACTATGTAATAGCCTAAACATAGAACAACCATTTTGAAGCAATAACATTGATAAAAAATTGGACAAAGCGTGTGTTCTATTAAAAAAAATCAAACAAAAAACATAAGACATACACTGTGCAATAATATCAATCAATCAAAATAGATTAGGAGAATATTTTTTATGTAGATTTTATGGCAGCCAACATTCACGCGAGAATGACGTGTAGCATGCATATCAGGTATCTTGAGTCTGGCAGTGGGCCAAACAGGACCCATCACCAGACAGGTGTATAGGTTCTACACGGCATACGTCTGTTAATAACATGTCTCCCTTATTAGGTAATGAGCGAAGTAGAATAATACATGTGCCCAGAAGCTTTCAACTGACACTACAATATAAATATATCGTCCAAAAATTTGATAACTTTTAATTTCAATTTTGTGAATTATTTAATGAAACATTTGCAAGGTGTAACTGCACCAATATCGGCAACTGGTCGCCACCTGGTAAATGTAGCATTGTTAGCACACCAGGGAGTAAGATAGCGAAGGAGAAATAAGTTCACATGTCTGAATACATGCTGTTGAATACGTTACATTATTTAGAATTAAACTAGGGTTTTCCCTTTTGATTATAGTGATCTGATAAAAACCCAATATATGGGAACAATGCAAAAATATTGGATTGTCAACAGAATGCTTACACGTTAACCTTATATTGCCATTATTTTTAAAGCTGCTCTGACCATTAACTTTATTATGCAATTACTATTAAAACTATTGAACAATGAACCTTATATTGCCATCATCATTAAGACTGTTCTGATCTACTAACCGTATATTGCCATTATTGATAATTTGTTCTGAACCATTGAGCCAATACTGTCATTGTTAAAACTGTTCTGAACCATTGACCCAATACTGTCATTGTTAAAACTGTCCTGAACCATTGACCCAATACTGTCATTGTTAAAACTGTCCTGAACCATTGAGCCAATACTGTCATTGTTAAAACTGTCCTGAACCATTGAGCCAATACTGTCATTGTTAAAACTGTTCTAAACCATTGACCCAATACTCTCATTGTTAAAACTGTTCTAAACCATTGGCCCAATACTGTCATTGTTAAAACTGTTCTGAACCATTGACCCAATACTGTCATTGTAAAACTGTTCTGAACCATTGAGCCAATACTGTCATTGTTAAAACTGTTCTAAACCATTGACCCAATACTGTCATTGTTAAAACTGTTCTGAACAATTGAACCAATAATATCATTGTTAAAACTGTTCTGAACCATGGACCCAATATTGTAATTATCAAAACTGTTCTAAACCATTGACCCAATACTGTCATTGTTAAAACTGTTCTGAACCATTGACCCAATATTGTCATTGTTAAAACTGTTCTGAACCATTGAGCCAATACTGTCATTGTTAAAACTGTCCTAAACCATTGGCCCAATACTGTCATTGTTAAAACTGTTCTGAACCATTGACCCAATATTGTCATTGTTAAAACTGTTCTAAACCATTGACCCAATACTGTCATTGTTAAAACTGTTCTGAACCATTGACCCAATATTGTCATTGTTAAAACTGTTCTGAACCATTGAGCCAATACTGTCATTGTTAAAACTGTCCTGAACCATTGGCCCAAAACTGTCATTGTTAAAACTGTTCTGAACCATTGACCCAATACTGTCATTGCTAAAGCTGTTCTGAACAACATGTCCTGCACCTCCATTATTATTAAACCGGTTGTAATTTTGTGAATATCGTCATGGGAGTGTAAAATCAAAATTGTACTTTCAGGCTTGTTTGTTAAGTTTGTTAAGAAAACACACCGGAGGCGTTAGTGTGATGGCTAATACGACCACAAACGCTAAGCCTGTTATTACTGCTCCAAAACAGTTTAATATTGAAGCACTATTAACATACTTAATTTAGCACAAACAAGTTTTCGTGCACTGTCCCGTTTAGGGAATTGATAAATATGCGCAATCACAATATTTTTTTATATAAACATCTGTGTTTAGTGTCATCATATCTACCACAATTCTTTCAGCACGAACATTTTTGTAACATTCCAGTATCTTTTTCTTCCACAATATTTGTGACTTTCATGATATATGGTAGGCTATATTAGTATCAAGATGAAATATCAAGTCAAACGTATTGTGATTCGTAAAGCATAGACAATAACTACCAAAAATAGTATAAATTCAGCGTCATAAGAAGAGATTAGCTATAAGATGCATTCCTAATTAGGAACCCTTATGTCATAGTTATGTTCTATTTTGAAATCACTCTTAAAATCCAGTCTAAATATCAACGACCTCACTGTGTAGAAGTAACACGATGTTTACATATGCCCGTTATATCTATACAGGTATCAATGTAATAGCTCAATACTGGCTGTTAAATATTGGTATATGCATTTCCATATCAATTGTCAGAGATATGAGCATTGAAGCATGCATTTCGAAGTTTACGTGACTTATAATAATCATATTTTTTTATATATATTTTATTGGTTCGTTTAAACCATTGCGTTAAATGTCAAAGGGGTTGACGAATTCTTTTTGTTAGTTCGCACTTGCTGCGAACCGACGCCAATCAATCGGTTTAATTGAATAAAGAGACTACCGATGTGTCACTGAGTTCAACACAGTATTACTGTTTTTGTACTGAATTCATTGTATACGGTCTATGGCTTTGATATTTTCATGTAGTTATGCTCGATTGCAACCTCCGATTGATTGTATAGACCAATGGTGCAGTCATATCGATACCAGGTAGAACTCATAGAACGGATAATCGCCAGAATGATACAATCGTTCTGAAATATACAACTCTTTTAACTAGCAGTATGCATTTCTCACTGAATGTTGATAGCTAAATACAGAAATATCTGTAAACAATATCTTTGATATTATACACCTTTTGACGAGATGAATTGAAATATTTTAATCCTCATTTGCTTTAATGTATCAGTTTGGAGAGAAACAATAAATTCCATACAAGTCGCGTATATTTTTACAGACAACACAAGACCGCGAGAACTGTTGTTAAGACAAACAGTTATGTATATATGATGAGAGATAGAGAACCACGAATCAAAGATTATTCAACAGTAACAACAAGAAAATATCAAGATGTCAAAACAATTATAATCCAATTTCAGATTCAATGAAACTATAGCAAAATAAAAAAGATTTACACGGAGGCGAAGAAGGCCAGGTGCTCCGGAAGAGTAAATGTCTTCTGCTCTATTGATATTCTTTGTGAATATTCCATTTCTAAATAGCTATATCACCACTGCTATCATAATATGTTTACATGCCGCAATTTATTCAACATATTCAATGGTTTCTTCCTAATATCATGATTTTCGTGCAAGATGTCGACAACTGACACACAAATACTCACAGTCAAGTGTTCAAGTGATAATGATCTCAATTTGGAAATAATATCTTTCTATATCTGCTCTATATCGAGCTAGATGTGTGTAAAGCTAGTTAGTATACTAGTTGAAGCAGAAAACGCTTACCCTTAACGAAAACCTGTATTTAAGTGTTGCTTTATTTCAGTCGTCACCGTATAAATCGTTCATTCTTTCGTATGCCCGTGTGTTTTCTTTGTACAATCTTTGCTCTAGTTTTACAAATGTTGAGTTTGAATTAAGACGTTGCATGGTATGTTTTCATTGAATTGAATAGTGACATGATTCGGAATACACATGTTAATGTACCTGTGGTTATTTAGAAATATTATAGTATTAAGAATAATAAAATGTATTTTAAAAAAAGAAGAGTAAGTTGACATTTCCATGTTAATTTTGACTTTACGTTTTATTTTCACTTTTGAATGAGGTCAATTTTGATATTTTCGCGTGCTAATACCCAAGATGTAAATACCTCGTACTTGTATGCGATATAGATGTCTAGTACTGGGATACTGGGTAAAGCTTACTCCTTGACGTACATGTGTCTAGTACTTGTATATAATAAAGAATTATATTTCTGGGAAAATAGAGCTGGTAGAGATTTCTCCTTGACGTACATGTAACTAGTGCTTGTATATGATATAGATGTCTAGTACTGGGATAGTAGAGCTTACTACCTTGACGTACATGTAACTAGTACTTGTATATGATATAGATGTCTAGTACTGGGATAGTAGAGCTTACTCCTTGACGTACATGTAACTAGTACTTGTATATGATATAGTACATGTAACTAGTACTTGTATATGATATAGATGTCTAGTACTGGGATAGTAGAGCTTACTCCTTGACGTACATGTAACTAGTACTTGTATGTGATATAGATGTCTAGTACTGGGATAGTGGAGCTGGTAGAGCTTACTACCTTGACGTACATGTAACTAGTACTTGTATATGATATAGATGTCTAGTACTGGGATAGTGGAGCTGGTAGAGCTTACTCCTTGACGTACATGTAACTAGTACTTGTATGTGATATAGATGTCTAGTACTGGGATAGTGGAGCTTACTCCTTGACGTACTTGTGTCTAGTACTTGTATGAGCTATAGAATTCTATTTCTGGGATATTGGAGCTGGTAGAGCTTACTACCTTGACGTACATGTAACTAGTACTTGTATGTGATATAGGTGTCTAGTACTGGGATAGTGGAGCTGGTAGAGCTTACTACCTTGACGTACATGTAACTAGTACGTGTATGTGATATAGGTGTCTAGTACTGGGATAGTGGAGCTGGTAGAGCTTACTACCTTGACGTACATGTGTCTGTTACTGGTCGGGGATAAGGATATCTATTGCAGACAATGGACTGTTTTATACCTATTATAGGAAATCATGGATTACTTTGGATGAGACACAGACACGCTTCAATGAATATCTGGTACAGGATTATCTTTTAGGGACATCTTTAGTATGGGATATTTGGTACAAGGAAATAAGTTAAATCAATGAACGGTCACCACATATTATTTCTTATTAATATGAATGATAGAGTGACATTTGATATTTAGATTTAAGATATTACTTTCAACAAAGTATCGTGTCTTAATTATCAGATTATAAGGTCTTAATGTTTGATGTTAAGCTAGAATGTGTGGTGTCTGAGGCGATATGCAAAGCGTTGACGTAACATTGGTCAACATGTCATGAGAATGACGACATAGCACTGTCCTGATGTCTAGAAAACACGAAAATACCATTATGTGAAAAGAATCATCATCCAAAATTACATTTGATAAAACTGTGGAGAAAATATGAGCAAAAGAACAATTTAGAGTGAGACCCCTGAAATAGTTTAAGCATAATAAAACTAGGTACAGTAAAATTTTGTATTTACTACTGTGAATACAAACACAATTTACACTGAGCTAATAGGAAATATTGCAAAATATAAATATTACAAGATGTTTTATTTATTATCTATTTTATATCTCACGGGGGATGTCTAATACGGGATATAAAGGATATACTGTTGATATAGCTTATACCACAGGAAATTATTTTGACATTATTCTATTTGTGAAAAATTTGAAAGGCTGTCGGATTTATGGACATGACCATAAGGAAAAATCGTCCATATTATATTTTGTTATATTATATTATATCATATGATATAGATATAATAAATATTAAGTTAACTCGAGTGACTGTCCGACCATGAAGGCTGTCAAATGTAAAGGACATTTAGATATATAAATACATTTGCATTTGTTAGGTAACATGATAAAACAAAAGTTTGTTTAATCCATCACTGAAAGAAGCTGGTGCTTAACGTTCAAAACCTAATATATACATGGAGATAGCAGCTTATATTTTCAACACTCGCCATGTATTTTAATTCATTCTTCCATATTGATTGAAATCAGACGGGACGCCTAAACAGTTTTGTTTAATCTGTTTACCTGATGTTGACGTTACGCTGAATTTTGCCTGATGACGGACGCAATCCGATATAACAGCGATTTTATTTTTCCTAGATCAACATGCTCATTACTACATGTATATTCGCTTATTTCAACAAC